CTATTCTATTCTATTCTATTCTATTCTATTCTATTCTATTCTATTCTATTCTGTGAAATAGGAAATGTTCAAATTATTCTATGGTTTTGCAACAATCCTGAAAAGGAATGTTCATTTTTCCATTCTGCAAATGGGGGAGGCTGGCTTGAAAAAAGTGGCTCGCCTAAACGTTTACCCACTGGAAAAAAATTGTTAAGAGAAGAGATAAGAATAGGCATTTCCAATTCTCAACTATCTGCACACATAACTATACTCTCTGAGCATCACTCACCTCCGGAGTATCGAAGTGAAGTATCTGTTCATTAAGAAGCTCTGAAGCAAGGAGTTGAGGCAGCAACTCAATCCAATGTTGTATAAGCCAACAGCACCTGAAAGTAAGACCCAAAACTAGAATGTGTGGCTTGGACAAAAAGGAAGGAAAAAGAGAGTTCCAAATGTGGAGACCGCAAGATATCTACAGCAATATGAGGCTTATACTGGAAGGGGGGAAATATGCAGGATTTTTCCATTTGGAGAAAGCAGCACTGAATTCCATTTTTTCCCCATTAGTTTTATGGTAAATGTAAACCCTTCTATTATGGGAAATGTAAACCCATACTATTTTCAAGTCTTATGCCACTGGACTTTCAACCGGCGGTGTGATCCTACCGGTTTAACAACCAGTTCAGTGATTGCGTGCTTTGCGCGCATGCAGAGTTTGGAGAAAACTTGACTTCCGCATTACTGCTGGGGAGGATAACAGCTGAGGTATGGCAATCCTCCGCGTGACTCAGCTGCAATGATAAAGTTTGGTATAACGTAGGGGCGGGCCATTTGAAAGTCAGAGCAAACCGGTTCGCTCCCAGCTGATTGTCAGAGCTACCGATTCGCTCAAACCGGTAGAATCCCACCCCTGCTTCAACCCTGGGGATGTAACTTTCTCCAAGTGCCAGAAACAGAAGCACGAAATCAAGACTCACTGTCTCCAGAGTAGGAGTTCCCACTAACAAAATTATAATGCTATAAAATCTGGCATCCTACTAAAACTGTTATAATAAGAGGTTTTGTTTTGTTTATGAAGGAGTGAGTGAAAAATTATGTATGGGCTTCCTTAGCTAAGGAGTTGCAGCAGTAGTCGGCAACCATAGAGGAAAAGGATGACAGGCAATAGAAATTGGCCATGATAACTTATGCCCTCATTCCCTGCATCCAGACTACTGTAATACGCTTTACTTGGGGCTGTCCTTAAAGACTATTCCAAAATTGCAACTGGATACAGCAGCTGCACTCTTACAGGCTCTGATACTGGAAGCAGATTACAATAGTTTTGTGGACACTGAATTGTTTGCCAGTTGGATTCCAAGTCCTATTAAAGGTGTTGGTTTGACCTATAAAGCCCCTCATGGTTTGGCATTCAGATACATTTTGGATTTTCGTTTGCACCCCAACCAATTGGACCCAGTAGAGAGGCTATCAAGCTGGATGTGTCTTCACTGCTTTTTTACAAGCTCCTGAAGAGGTGGTTTTTCCAAAGTCTTTCTCTGATTTAAATATCCATGCCTGCTGTGGCCTGCCAGATTCAGACAGTGAGGAGGTTGGGGAGGAACATGGGCCAGTCCTGGAGTCTGGGGAAGGCTCTGATGAAGGCTCTGTGTNTTGGGCTTATTATCCAGGGAGGTCTTATTTTCAGGGAAACAGGGTGTGTGCGTATGCGTATGTGTGCGTGCGTGCAGAAAGTTTAGGTCTATCTACAGGGCAATTGCTTCGAGCAGGCTACACAGGTAGTGCTTGCCTTATCACCACAATTGGGACCAGAATGTCTGTGGCTAAGCAAGGTGGTTTTGTAACTTTGAACAGTTGTTAAACAGATGGTTGTAAATCAAGGACTGTATCGGCCAATCCCAGTATAGTACTATTCAGTTTGACAGATAGATTCTATCTGGTTCCTATCATTCTGAGATCATTTAGTGCAACAGTTGCTAACCTTTTTGGGGCTTGGCAGCCTGGAAGGGGGGGGGGGTTTCTGTGCAAGTGCCAGGTGAATGCACAAGCTTGTGCAGCTCCATTGCACAAGTGGCAAACACAAACACGCACCACTCACACAAGTGGAGCTGCATGCCTGACCCAGTTCTAAATGGGTCATGGCCAAGTAGTGGGCCGCAGCCTAGGGGTCAGGGACCCATTATGTAGTGCAATCCTCTACCTTGTCCAACTTACGGGTATCCAAACAGTTACAATTGTAGTTCCCATAAGTCTCTCCCAAACTTGGCCATAGTAGATACGGTAATATGCAACACAGATCACCACTACATTGAACAGAGAGCAGTAGGTAAAAAAACAACTATGATCCAGTGGTGGAATTTCGTGTATTTCAATAGGCTTTTAAGAGGTATTACAGTTTTATGGGCATCCGGTTGGCAAAAGCCGAAGGGGATTACAATCAATTAATTCAACATGCCTCTATATAAAAACATCGTGATAAAATTATTATTTTTTCTGCTTTATAAAAGTAGGATTTTACCAGGTCTGTGTCTGTGATTTGGCTTTTAAGTAGGCTCCAAATTTTGTAATAGACTTCTGAAGCATCATGGAGAACAAACACTAGAAGAAAAGAGATTAAAAAAAACCACAATTTAGCACAGGGGATTCTATGCTAGTTTCCCAAATTCTAATACTCTCATCTACTTCCATGAATATATTCTTCCAAATCCAAAGATATTTTTAAACCATTCTGGGTTTCTAATAAGCCCAATAAACCCATTTACAGATTTTTGCCTTCCCCAGCTAATGCTATTTGCTTCCCAATCCCTAAAGGTTATGCCATCCAAAAGGTATCCAAGAGGCTCCAGATCTTCCTTACATCTCACACCATGACCAGAAAGACAGCAGATAAGGTCGAAAGGGCGCACAGGCTTCCCCTTGGCCCGCTGCATGCTTTCCAACAGCAGAAGCATTTGATAAGGGACGCTGGCATCCTGTTCTGCTCTTCCATGTGGTACATTGATCCTGCAGTGAAAAGAATCAAACTATGATTGTACTTCACAGTCAGAGGGGAAAAACTGAGCTCATACTTCAAGAACTGGCCCTTAAAAAGAATCAAAACCTATCACATTTCCTACACTGTACAGATATCATTGCAGTTTTGCCAATACCATAAAGAAGAGAGGGGAGGCCAAGGGTTTTAAACATGGCTTAAAACTTAAAATGTAGAAATTGAAAACTTTATAATTTTTTATAAATATAAATTATCATTATGTAAATAATATGTATTTTATTAAATGTGTTGCAGTTGCACACCTGATTTGAAGGAGCCACACACCCCTTGAGAGTTTCAATTAATCATAATACTAGCCATAAGAATGGATATGTCTAATTTAATGAAAAGAAGGACTAGGGATGACATTATAGCAGTATTCTGATATCTCAGGGACTGCCAAAAACAAGAGGGAGTCAAACTATTTTCCAAGGCACCTGAGGGCAGGACAAGAAGCAACGGGTGGAAACTAATCAAAGAGAGAAGCAACTTAGA